TTTCAAAGCTAGACAACACGGTGTGGATATAAAAGCAGAGAAAGAATCCAGGGTATTGGACCACATGGAACGTGTATTCAAGAAAAAAAAACGTTACTCACGAAAGGGGACTCATCTGTGGACGCTAACAACGCAAAAGTGAGGATTTGAAAATTTCAAGCGGAACTAAGCGCCCTTGCGGGACGATTTGACTTTACAAACGAGGCGGAGAACGTGAGAGACATAATCATTATGAACATGAGTGAATCGGATTGCCAGAGGGAATTAGCACGATCAACGAAAATGCTTTCTCTTTCTTACTAACTAGGTGATCGGGCCAGCAAATCATATATCGGAAAACCAGCGTAAACAGCGCCACATAATATGATTAAGCACAAGCAGGTTGGAAACATCAAACGGGGAACAGGCTAGTATCGAAATTAAGGCCGAGGCAGACACGAAACCGGATCGGGGAACGAACTCTGGTAAATGCTGTAATCACGATCGGCCTTATTTATCGCGATTGGCCCCAATATAGAACACATCAAGATGTAGCCAGCAAAAATGCAACGTGCAATGCATGTAGAAAGATCGGCAGTTTTGAGAGAACATTCCGCGGGAGACCTAGATGTACTAAAAAGTGGAGATGGAGAAAACGGTTTGGAATGATGCAAGATGAACAGAAAAACCACCAAAGTAGCCAGAGCTTGACAAGCAGTATCCAGGACCATCCGATCTGATGGGTGAATCAGGAAGCCAAAGGGTAATACGGTTTGTCCGCGGGATCGAGTGATTAAATAGTAATGGCAATAAAATGTAAACAAAATGTGACAGAACTCAAAATTCCAAACGCTAGAGCCTGGCAAACGTTTGCGCCAGAAGCATGTGGCTTGTGGGTCGGCAGCGGCTCTCATGCGACATTGTTTACCTCACCGGAACCAAATTGAGCCTTGAGTAAGGCTAATTTTCAATTGACTCCAGGGAAAGGCGAAATTTTAGATTATAAGAACAACAGAATCCATATATTCGGCAAAGCAGAAGCCACGATCGAATTAAATGGATGGACAACGCACCAGAAGATTTCAATCTTCGGTGGCGTACGTGATTGACTAATGATCCCTGGATTTGAAGTTGGTCCAGAGGGATCAAGTGATGACAGTAACAGAGGGAGATACAAGCGCGGAGGATGAGAACGAGTTGGAGGAGTGGGAGTTATATTTCTATAAGTTGTTTCCAGTAATTTTTTCCAGAATAGTGCGCATATGTAAAACCAAGGAACGGGCAGATTTTTTTTGACAATTTGAAACCAGTGCAACAGAAGGGCCGTATAAGACAGGATAAAGTAGATAGAAAATTTTCGCGTCTAATGCAAGAGGGGCACATAGTTAAGCTCGAAGAGTGTTCAGACGAACAATTCGTGTCCCCGAAAAAATCACAGTAAAAAGACGGCATTATAAAATTGGCACTAGAATCAAGGGAAATAAACAAACAAGTACACAAGAACAGGTACCAAATAACTAACATAGATCAGTTAATGGACGGAATAAGTCATATAATCGCAGAAAGAAAGGAGGCGGAAGTTTACTTTACAACGCTCAAATTTACTTACGCTTAGGGGCAAGTAGCGTCAGTAACCAAAAACGAACAAACAATGCAACTTTTTACTAAGGGGGGCGTTTAAAAACGGTTTTTACGGACTAATTACTATGTCTCCGGAGTTTTAAGGAATGATGGACACTCTCACACGAAAATTTCAGCAGGCAGATGCATTAATCGACAATTATCTAATCGTCTCCAAGGGAGCCGAAATTGAACATTTTGATTTGATAGAGAAAACCCTGAAGAAACCGACATAGCAAAGACTTCGCTGAAACTCTGAAGATGCAAATTTGCGAAATCAAGATGCCAATAAATGGGCAATCAAATAAGCAATACCGGGATTACTCCACTGATTAGAAAACCAAAGCAATAGAGGAATTAAAAGCGCGGCAAACTAGAAAACAATTCAATTCTACAATGGGGGCGTTACACAGATGCATGAATTCCCGCCTAATCTAGCGGAAATAGGCACACCCTAAGGCCGTTACTGAGCCAAAACAAAGATTTTACTTGGTCACAAGTGTGCGAAACAGCGTTTGAATCTTTTAATAAACGTTTGGATGCCAACATGAAAGAGATTAAATTTTTTGACATTGACCGGGAAGCACGTATTGTATGCAACACTCTGACGGACTGGGTGCAATGCTGGAACAGCATGGCCAGGAGGGATGGCAACCAATCTCTTTCACATTCTGGTACCTTAATTAAGTCGAACGAAAATGTTCAACGAACGAGCTTAAGTTACTAGCCGTCGTATGGGCAACAGAATACTACCAAAACTACCTTTACGGACAAAATTTTACGATAATTTCAGAGCATAAATAATTATAATCTTTTTAAATTCATCGGTGAAAAGAACTAAAACGTTTTTAGCAGGTTAGCTCGTTGGTACGAAAGGGTATTACTTTATAGCCTCTATTATAAAAAACTCTACGTAAGTTTAAAAAAACTATCTCAGATTTGTATTGATAAACTTAAACGTGACTTGTTCGCACCCTAATGTACTTTGAGTGCAAATCATGACATACTCTAGCAAAGAAATGCATATCATGCAACATTCTTGCAAAATTCACATTCCCTAAACCACCAAGAAATTTAATTGATCATTGAGATTTTAAGGTTTTCAAATTACATAAGGCGTAGAAGTCGCGCTCTTGAGTTCCAATTTTCGTTTGTTGTAAGATGACGGCCAGTTGATACCTCGCCGTTTGTATCATCAAACTGAAACAAAAAATGAGACTCTCACTCCCTGAAGATGCTTTTTTTTTCGATTCAGTTAACTCATAAAGATGCTACTCATAACAATAACTGTGAAGCTGAGTAAATTTCTTCGTGAGAATGAATTTCCTCGATGATTCGTTAGAATAACATTTTTTTGCGAACATTGAAAAAATTTCTAGATTTTAAATTTTTAATTTTTCAAGTCATCCAACTAAAATACATTTTGTCTGAGTATGCTGTTTGTTACAAACCCTAAACCATTTTTTATTTTCAAGTAAAACTTCAACTATTGTTTCAGAAACAAATAAACTGCAGACGCCGTTTTAGCTGCAGTGAATAAATTAGTTCACGTTCAAATCTAAAAGTAAGAAGTTCCTGGTAAACTCAAAAGTCGAACAATCAGCATGATTAGACAAAAAGTATTTCAGTGGGACGTTTTGATCGGATGAAATTTTAAAACCTGAACCATATTACGAGCTTCCCAAAATTTGGGTATGTTCTTCTCGAAAATCTGGAATCAAGAAAATTGTTCAACCTTACAGTTACTGCTAACAATTGGGGTATCAACGGGCCCTGATTATGTACGAAACAAAAACTTGCAACTCCAGCTCATCACCAAAATTATATTTAGGTAAATAGAAAAGTTTAAATTGTGTTTGAATGCATCAGTTCTCTAGAAGTCAAAAGTTTATACATACTTTAGCTGTTTTGAAACACAGGTTTCAAGAATTATGCAGCTTTTGTTGGTGGAGCAAAAAAGAAGACAAAAGATTCGTAGTTTGTTTACTTCGAAAATTTAATAAAATAATAGACACTTATCTCGGAAATAAACACACTCGAGGAGATGGGCTTCTTTTCAATGCAAACACGCCATCCTTAGTAGGAATCTGGTAGCATGTGTAAATTTTGAAAAAAAATATTAAAAAACTTCATATTCCAAAAAGTACAATGTCAGTACTAGCACAATTTAGTCCAATCTAACTTGCAACTCCACTACATTTTCCGGGCACTTGCTTCAAAAGAAGTGAAATATTACAACCCAAGAGGTTCACCTCACATTTTTTCATGTAATAAAAAAAATCTGGATACTTGTATCAAAACATTACTTTTTCGAAAACTAAAAATTACTGGATATTTTTCCAATATTATCCCACAACCTTGAATCGTGATCATTTAACATGTAATTATGCTGAATTATTACAATTTGGACACGGTTTTGAAGTGGAGCTCGGCACAGTCAAAATAGGTTGACTGTTCCGATGAATTCTTTAATTAAAGTACTAAGACCTTGGTAAAAACTCAACTCTATTCTTAGTTTATTTCGCGAATGAACTCTTTTTATCGTAATTTAGAAGGCATTTATCTCAAAAGAAATTTAAAGACCCAAAATGTGATCTGAGCAATTTTGGTCTTCTTCTAAAAACTAGAATTTTTTCAATAAACAGAAAAATAAATAGATAAAAATTAGATTGATCGAAAGATTTTAAAATATTTAAATCCGTAACTAGTTAGATAAACAGATAGGCAAGTAGATAAACAAAAAGTGAAGCTAAAAGGTTAAAGCAAAAAAGCTAGGTAGATAAAAAGTCAGAAAGACAGATCGATGAATAGATTGATTAATGGTCACATAAAAAATAAGTTGATACGGGGGCGAATCTAGCGTTTTCTTGAGAAGAGCGGATTTTCAAAAAAAAAAATCCAGAAAATATTGGATCTTTTCAGGTCGACTAACTCGAAATTCCCGCTCTCTCGATACAGCATAAAACCCTATTTGAAAAAATTTTCGGCAAGTTTTTGAAGAAAAAAACGGGATAAACAAGGCCGTTTTTGAGCATTTTTGGAAAATATCGTCCAAAAAATTACATATCGGCTATAGCAATTTTAGTATTCGCTAATTTTAAGATGTTTTTAATTTTCTAGATGCTCTCAGTTCGGCTTCAGTTCCGAATTTCAAGATGACCAAACCAAACAATTTTTTCTCCGATGCAGCTTTGCTAAAAACAACTTGAGAATTGAGTTTATAAGTTATCGTCAAAAGCTGAGCTTGACCGGCATTCAAGACAAATCTTTTAGAAAAATAGTTCGAAATCTAAACACCCCGAAAATGTTTTTGACTGCGCGCGTAACTCAACTGACAGCTGAAGACTCTGATTTATAGTTAAAGAAACGCAAAAAGTCATGCGCGGTGTTTTGATGGTATATTGACCATACGTGGTTACATCTTACATCGGTACTAAGTGTGTACCGTCAGCTAACTGACCATAAATTACCATGCACAAAAACTACCAAACGTGCGTTTTATTTTAACACGCTCAAAAAATCTATATTCCACAAATCTTTCAGTTTTTACAAAAAATTGCATTGAGCGTATACAAACTGTGCCTTGTCTTCTCAATTGCTGGTCTGAATCAGGCTGAATTTTTTAACAAGGAAGGAACACAAATTGCTCGAACAAAAGAATACCAGAAATTCAAAACTTAGGGCCAATGGAACTCGGTGTGTGAGGTTTTTTAAATTGACGAATTCCATTATTGCATAAGTGATCATTGTTTTTATGAAATCATGGTTTATCCGACGTTTCACAAACATTCGGCCGATTCCCTGTTCGAAGGTGTGATCAAATTGGACTCCCTAGCTTCCCAATCAATCAATGTATGTTACCTTCTGGACGTGTCTGGAAGTATGTATCTGGGACATGACCTCGTCAGAAAACACCTGGTTGATCACCTAATCAACAGGTAAGCAGGCTCCATAGTAATGAAAAAAGCATTGTGTTTTTGTTTTTTCATTTCATCATATTCGCCAATATCTTTAACCTTGCTGCAGCATCCACGTTTTGAATAGTTAGATCCGAATTCATGATCAGAAATTATATGCAAGTAATGATCAATCTTTCAGAGATTCATGATTAAGTTTTCATCCATTTCATTAAAAAGCCAATCGGGTGTTTTTACATTACTTTTTTACTCAATAAAATATTCTAAAAATGAATATACATCCATTAAAAAAATCCCCCCAATTAACTCAAATGTTATAAAAATCTCTTTGATAAAAGTAAAAGAACTTAATTTATCTATAGAGCTGACATAGAAAACGTGAGAAGAATCCACTTCGTAGAGCAGAACCATCATCTCAACCACAACAACAACAACTCGGCCAAAAAACCGAAAGCCTTTCGTGCCTCTAAGTTCAACGTGATCGCCTTCTCGGATGTCCTGTTTCCGTGGAGTGACGAAGGGGTCCATCTCACTCGGGAGAGCGTGATGGTGTGCGCCCAGTGGGTGAAACAGAACCTCAAGGTCAAGTCGGGTCCATCCTATTTCCTGCCCAGTCTCATGTTTGCACTGAAGGACAGCCAAATAGACGAGGTACAAAGTTTTGTTTTTCCACTTCGGTTTAGTGCGTGTGCACTAAATCAGTTTTTTTATCATTCGAGCTCATATCGAATTTTATTTTTTCCAGAAAAGTTGTCAGAAAGCTCTTGCAACGTTTTTGAGAGCCTCAGACGCTTAGAAGAAAATGGTAAACGACAAAAAAGTTCGGATCCCTGTATTGTAAATTCACTAGCAGTTCTAGTTGACTTGTTGAAAACTAATGTTTTCTATGCTGTCTTGGAAAGGATTCTTGTATCCTGTAGGTCGTGCTTATAACAGACTCCTTACCCGCAGACCGAAATTTACCCGACACTCTCGCCCGAATCACAGTCGCAGCCAAAGGACGACCAGTGCACACAATACTCGTGCAAACGCCTCCAGATCCGAACGATGAGACTAGAAAGTTGACCAATCAGGACGCAGAATGCGAGTCGTTTTTAAGGAAGCTAACGCAGGCTACCGGGTCCGTGCTTCGAAAGGTCAAAATCGACGCGAGCGGAAAATTTTTTGATGACGTCACTTTGGTGCGAGAGTCAAGGTATGATCAGAAGAGAACCGAAAGTGGCAGAAACTTTGTCGAAAACGGAGTCGGAGATAATTTAGATGGGACTACTTTTCTGATGACAGAGAGGTACAAAAATTGTTGATCACAGCAATCAGCTCCGATTTCTTTCACTTTTTATAAAAACTCACTATAAGTTGTAGCCGATTGCTGCAATTAGCATCTATTATTTTGATCATACTGATTGTTGCAAACAAAAGCAAAAACTAAAAAATAATAATGTAATGAAAAAAGCAGGCGTACTGCTAAACAATGTATAGACACACATAGTTATTATGGGGTTCGGCAGAATTAGAAAAGCTCGAAATGGCTGACTTAAGAAATTAACGCGAAAAACTTCTTGGCTGCTGAAAATGAAAGAGACTGCTCTCACGATCTCACTGCTTTTTAAATTTTAAGAATTAAATTTTGCGCAATAAGTTTTTTGATTATAAAGAAATCAATTAGAGAAAATTAACGCTATAGAAAAAACGGGACTTGTTTTTTAGTACTGGTTGTCATGTCTGTCCATCAATGTCCAATTGTGCTCACATTCCCACCTGGAGGACTATGAAAAAGAGACATTTACAGATGCCAGATGTTCCCTCGGAGGGAGCTGCCAGTCTACTGATAGGACGAGAGGTATTAGCCAGAAGAAATGCGGACGGGTTCCACTATTTGGGGACTGTTGCCGAAAGGGTTAGTGATTCCTTTTTTGGAAAAATCAATAAAAAGTCCTTCTGCAAAAATATTTCCAAAGCTGTCAACGCTAAATTACATAGCCATGAATTACCCTAACACTGTATCTTTATTATCACCATGGTTTTTCGTGGCGGTCCTGTATATGACCAGAAAATACGCTGTTGTAGCTAACTGTACTTTAAAAGTACATGTAAACTAGGTTGTTTTGCCTACTGCAATTGTTTTACAGTTTTGCAAGCGAAAAAATCCGACAATAAAATCAAATTCTTGGTGAAACTTTGTTTGAGTTCGACTTTATTTCGACTGACTCGACTTTATGTTTCGACTGCGAGTTCGACTATAGTGCCTTCTCGACAATGGATTATCGGTCGAACTCTGACATATGTTCGACCCGCCTCGGTCGAAGCATAAATCGCAAACTTCGACCCGGGCAGGTCTTTTTACAAGAAGACATCAGTTATAATTACCAATTAGCTGGCATGAAAATTCTTGAGCCATACGTGGTCAAGAGGATATGGCACAGCTATATTTATCACTCAGAGATATAATTTTGAGTTGCGTCATCGTATGACATATTTGGTAATCACTTTGTAGACATGGTTAGTTTGTTAATCAGCGCGGGCTGACTTCGCAGGGATAACAGTTCCTGATTCAGCATTATGCAATGAATCACAGCTGCAAATGTACTGATCACGGATAAAGTGACGCCGATCAGATAAAGTGGAACAGCGTTGATTAGTTTATGAAATTTGCAGCACTGACTCATCGACAATACACGGTGACGAAGGCTGCTCCAAAAATCAGCGCTGATTCAGGGACAGTTCATTGCCAATAGTGGAATTCATGATTTTTCAGTGCATTTTTCTCAGAAAAACAAAAACTGCTATAATAAGTCAAGTGAAAAATCTTTCTTGTTGTTCACAGTCGCTGAACATCTCCAGATTTTACGTGGAGTTCCCGGATCCAAAAAGTGAGCAGCCTCAAATAGAGGAGATATCTCTGAAGGATATTGTCAACTTCGAGGACGGCATCCGGAACCCAGTCAGAGAGGGGGACAGAGTACTCGCATCAGTCGGGGGCTCCAGAAAGGGGAAATTTGTGGCAGGAACTGTTATAGAGGGGGAAGACATGCGAAATAGTTTTGACTGCCAAAACGGTAGGCCTTTTAGAGAAGTTACCCTTCAAATTTTACAGAAAAACAATATTTTTTTATGCCGACCAAATTGATTATTAGAGCTTTTCCAAACACTATAAAGACGCTTTTCCCCCAAATTTTCTGCGCTGTAGGCAAATTTTTCTACAGAGAGGCAAAAATTGTTAAAGCAAAAATTTCAGACAGCGAGCTAGCAGTTGCATTTTGTACTGGCGAATCCAAAGATGTGTCCAGTAACTTTGTGGTCAAAATACCCCAATCTATGTTCGATCTGCTATCCCTGGAGAACGGGGCTTCTCCTAACGAGAGAAGGAGTCTTCAGCTGGCCAGAGATCAGATGGAGGTCGAGAGGAAAGCGAAAGAGCCTATTTGTGAAGGGTACACTATCAAACCGGACTCATGTCACGGTAAGTTATTGCCAAAAAACTCAAAGGATTTCAATTTCAAAATAAATTGATTGAATAGAAGATATAACATAGAGCCAAAAAACTTCAGCAGATTGAGTAAAAAAGCCAAAATCAGTTAATTGCTTCGGATCAGAAGATTTTTCAATTTTGCTATTAAAAGATCATTTGAACAACCCCCCCCCTTTGGTTTTATAAAAAATAAAGTTTCATTGAACATATCTAAAAAATAAAAATTAAGTGCGTTGAGTGCACAAAAAACTGTATACACCCAATTTATCAATTTTAAGTGATTCTTTATGGCAGCACTTCGAAAACAAATCTAGATATATTGTTCAAGAACACCAGGCAGAAAATTTATTAACGGAATTATCATCAGAAATGAAAGTTGGAAGAAGTAAAATTAACGAGATGAAAATAAAAAATGTTTATGAACTGCTTACATACGAAACTTTAACAAGACTGCTGGTATCAAGGCCAAGCCTTGAATGTTTAGACTGCCTTTTAAAGTCTATGGAGAAGTAATAACATGAAAAAATTAAATGTAATGAAACAAAATGATTTTTGTAATATGAGATTTTTTGTAAAAATCATCCCCCCACAAGCAATATAAAATACAAAGTGATATGTTTTGCTCCTAGTAACAAATCAATTATGGCAAACAAGCTTCCTTCAATCAATTTTGAACGATTTCTAAGAACAATTAAGCATCTGCATGCCCGTAAATACCCCCATAACTTTACGGAAAATGATCACAGGTGAATTATATTTTTAAATTTAAGCGCAGGAAAACAAAATTTTTTTAATGATATAAAAAATCCATAAAAAATGGCTAGTTAAGTCAAATTTTGTTTGAAGAAAAAAAACTACCCCGAGCACAAATATTCAGATATTTTCATTACAGAAGTCGGAACAATAATCGTGAACAAAACTGCTCGTATCAGTGCAAAGACCTAAATGTTAAGATTGCGCTTAAAGGTTTATGGCGTAAGTGCTCGCTTTAATAAAAACTGATAATTTTTTTGAATTTTTTTTGTTTTGAAAACCATCCATCCACACACAATGTAAAGTATAGAGTATTTCTGCCTCCTTTCGGTTCTGAGGTAGATCGGTTTCGAGTAGCTGGTTGATTGACAACAGTTCATCTTATACGTAAATTAACCGTAATTATCGGAAATTACAAGTCAACAAAGAATGTTTAACTGACATAAACTTCGGTATATAAAAGCAAAATTTAATGTCATAAAATACGCAAAATGAAAACATTATTAAATCATTTTTAAAACAGCGCGTGACAACTTTTGAACCTTATTTCGGTCTTTCTGTTTTTCGTCGTTTCTCACACACTGTTCTTCGTTCGCCACAAAATTCATTAGTTACGACCACGCTGTTCTTCGCTCACCACAAAATTCATTAATTACGGCCTTGATTTTTTCTCGCTAAAATTCTAGCGAAAACAAAATAATATTATTCGCATAGGGCAAAGTATTGAGCAAGTCAAATAGCATGCTTCCGTGTAATTTGGAGTGGTTTCTAAGACAGATTAAATCTCCACTTACACATAAATAGCGCGAATTATATCGAGCGTTTTTTATCCCAAATTGATAATTTCAAAACCCCATAAACTAGGGGCCCAGCTGAAAGCTGGAGAGACCTGTTTGATTATTTTAATATTGATTATTTTAAAATTGTTTTAAAATTTCAGGTTTCTCAAGTCGATAGCGCCCTTCCTACGCAAAAAAAGTGAAAGAGAAGCTTATGCATTCATTGGTAACGCTTTGGTAAAAAGTTTTCATGAGGGAACTTTTCAAGTCCATAGGTGTTTCCCTAGACAATAGGGGCCCAGCTGGAAGCTGGAGAGACCTGTTCGGTTTTTTCAGAAAAAACGTTATACAAATTTTTGATGAAATCGAATTAGCTAGCGCTTTTTGTTTTATTGAAAAAACGAGTTTGAAAAAATGTGGGTGGGGGGTGTAAGGCTAGCGAAATCGCAGATTGATTTCGGATGAGTTTTGTAAACTAATGTAGCAAGGTAATTGTGTGCATCACTCTGCCAGAATTGTTATACAATTCTGCCCAGGGAGCGGGACGAGGACCCGGATGCACTTTGCTCCCCACCCTTCTCACAAATGCAACACTCAAAGTCTGGAAGTTTCTGATCAGTCATATAATTAGCGGAAATTTCCCAGTTGTGAGAAGGGCACATAGCGGGTATGCTTGCTGGCAAAGACAACATGGTGGAATTCAAGAAAGCACCTGCGACGAAAATCCCAGAAGAAAAAGGTGTTTCTGTGTCGTTGTTGATCAAACAAACTCACGATAGAATCAATTCTGATTGTTATGATAAAATTCCAGTGGAAGTTACTGGCCGTAAGGCATTAAACACTATCCAAACATACTGGAAAAATGTGCAAAAAGCACATGACCATCAATGATACTTAAGTGAGCCTTAAGTGAAATTTGGGATTCATCGAACAGAACAAATACTTCATAGAACAGATACTTTCATGATATTATCAATGTAGAGAAAAATTGAAATCACTCAGGATTTGGTGAGGAATGTACCTGATCTAGAGAAAAACAACAAACTGAATATGTCTTTACAAATCTATTCATTACCATCAAGGATTAACATAACGTAAATAATTTTAAAATCATGGAAACATTGAAATCTTCCTTCGAAGATTGAAATCACTCAGGATTCGGTGAGGAATGTACCTGATGTAGAGAAAAACAACAAACTGAATATGTCTTTACAAATCTATTCATTACCATCAAGGATTAACATAACGTAAATAATTTTAAAATCATGGAGACATTGAAATCTTCCTTCGAAGATTGAAATCACTCAGGATTCGGTGAGGAATGTACCTGATGTAGAGAAAAACAACAAACTGAATATGCCTTTACAAATCTATTCATGACCATCAATGACTAACATAACGTAAGTAATTTAAAAATCATGGAAACATTGAAATCTTCCTTCGAAGATTGAAATCACTCAGGATTCGGTGAGGAATGTACCTGATGTAGAGAAAAACAACAAACTGAATATGTATTTACAAATCTATTCATGACCATCAATGATTAACATAACGTAAATAATTTAAAAATCATGGAAACATTGAAATCTTCCTTCGAAGATTGAAATCACTCAGGATTTGGTGAGAAATGTACCTGATGTAGAGAAAAACAACAAACTGAATATGTCTTTACAAATCTATTCATGACCATCAATGATTAACATAACGTAAATAATTTAAAAATCATGGAAACATTGAAATCTTCCTTCGAAGATTGAAATCACTCAGGATTCGGCGAGGAACGTACCTGATGTAGAGAAAAACAACAAACTGAACATGTCTTCACAAATCTATTAATGACCATCATTGATTAACATAACGTAAATAATTTAAAATTCATGGAAACATTGAAATCTTCCTTCGAAGATTGAGATCACTCAGGATTCGGTGAGGAATGTACCTGATGTAGAGAAAAACAACAAACTGAACATGTCTTTACAAATCTATTAATGACCATCATTGATTAACATAACGTAAATAATTTAAAAATCATGGAAACATTGAAATCTTCCTTCGAGACAAATTAAGGACCAGCCGCTTGGGCAGGGGAGTTTCCTACAACCTGGTCTATCGATTAAACCCTTAATCCCAAATCTGGATGGGTAGTTTTTGAAGAAATCGAAAAAGTTTGAAAAAATGGCCTAAAAACCGAAAAACTGACTATTCCTAAGTGTATAGCTCTTCCCCTAGACAAATTAGGGACGAGCCGTTTGTGTAGGGGTAGGGGGGGGGTTCCTACAACCTGGTCTATCGATTAAACCCTTAATCCCAAATCTGGACGGGTAGTTTTTGAGGAAATCGGAAAGATTTGAAAAAAGGCCAAAAAAGTCAAAAAAGTGACTTTTCCTAAGTCTATAGCTCTTCCCCTAAGCAAATTAGCGACCAGCCGCTTGTGCATGGGAGTTTCCTACAACCTGGTCTATCGATTAAACCCTTAATCCCAAATCTGGACGGGTAATTTTTGAGGAAATCGAAAATTTCCGAAAAAATGGGCAAAAATGTGAAAAAAGTACCGAGTTGTGAAGCTTTTCTAAGACCGTAGGAGGTGGGGTAGGGTAGGGTAAAAATTGCCCTAAATTTCATGCAGGCAGGTAGGTGAAACGCTACTGAATCCATTGGTACCACTCTTATGAGAATCTGACGGACGGGTAGTTTTTTGGGAAAGCGAATTTTTCGAAAAAGCGTCTCAAAAAAAAAAAAAAAAAAAAAAAAAAACCAGATCTCATCTGGAAAAAAAAAAACGTTTTCATAATACCTGTTTAATAAATCAAACAGGAATTTATGGTCACGAAATATGATCACATGTGAATTATTCTTTTTAAATTTGAGATCAGGAAAACAATACCTTTCGAATGGTGTAAGTTTCGTCAAAAATTGGTATTTAAAAAGTCAAAATTTGTCTGGAGAACAAACCACCCCGAGTAAAAATATTCCATCCTTTCTTCGAAATTCAGAACAACAAAAAATTCCAGTAAAAAACTCATAAGTAGTTATATTAGCAATTCAATAACATCAAGGATAATAATAAGCATAACCGCTGAGTGATGCACGGGTTAGAATATTATCATTTAGCACAAGATCTGTAATTTAAACAAAATGAAACTAAAAGGGCAACTCAAAAAAGTGGTCGAAACAGACTATAAAGTATAGCTAAAAATGATAAAATGTCTCACAAAGAAACTACATTGTCTCGTACAAAAAATCATACAATTTTAGTTGTGTGGCAGTGTAGATATGACCCGTTTTTCTGTTAAAGTTTGAGGGCGTTAATTTTTTTTTCAAACATTTCGTAATTGCTTTATTTTTCGGGATGGTTTGAATCTATATGGCGTGTAAGTATTGCTGTTTCATCTCAAAAAAAATAAAATCCGTGTACTTTTGGAGTCCATTAAATTCGGCGCCAAAAATTGGCATTGCAACATAAAAATTTGATTAATGGACTTCAATCTTTAACGAAGTCATCATATAAACTTTTTTAAAGTATCCGATGTTAAGGTCCTTACCAAATCAGACTTACAAAAATTTAGCTTCCACGTTTTTGTTTCAGGAGTTTCGTGTTGCCATGGTTACATTCCAGTGTGCACTGGTGCAAAGTACTACACCAAGTACCCTGTCTCAGTACCCTCTACTTGTATGAGTCACCAGATAGCATCTGATAGCCAGGACATTGTTCTCACTAGTGTGAAAGACAGCTTCGTTCACGCCAAGGATGTAAGAAAAAAGTTTTTCCATTTTAGTGTCCTGAGCACGTTAAAAACAAATTCTAGTACCCCCACGGCCCTAAGTTTATTGTATTTTTAAGTATTAAATAAGTATTATGAAGGGGCGATCATTTGCTGGGAGTGGTTTATAGCAGGAGGGAGCAAAAATTGTACCCATTTTTTGTTATTGACACAAAATGTTACCAAATTGTTTTTGTACCTTTCGTAGTTTTTGGTTTGAAGAACCGATCAGCTTATACATATTGGTCGCTTCCCTCATATCTATGAGATCTCTGACTTGTCTCTTAATCAATTTGCAATTACCCGACAGAGCTCTTGAACGAAAGGCTTATGCAGTCCAAATTTTTTTTGTGAAGTCCAAAATCCTGTTTAAATTTCGATATTAACTTCCATGGATACTACCTGCGAATTTATTCAATTTTTACTTCAAAAACTTTGTAATTTTCCAAAATTTTAAACCAGCTTTCGAGCTCAATTAGAGTCATGATTTTTAATCCCATCTTCAGCATTTCGTAATAATTTCAGCTGAACTTGAATCCTCCTATGATGGAACCAAATAACGAAAGATATCCTCAGCCCTTCAACAGAGAGTCAAAGGACGGCTGGTCTCTCTACCAGCCACGTGACCCCAAAGATGACCCCTGCTGCTGTCATGCTGAAGGGGAGGGGAACCACTGTTGCATGCACTGCGACAGCCATACAGTCCATGATTTGATTGACAGTGACGATGAATATGATGACCTATTGGGCGATATCAGCAAGTGGGGAGATAAAAAGGATGCTGCTACTAGTAAGACATGTCGAATAGATTTCGACATTTTTTTCTTCCTATCCCCACGCACGCCTTTTTTCAAAACTATAAGATTTGTTCATAATCTTCGATTGCTATAAAAATTGGCAATCTGAATAATAAGGCTATTCAGAAGGCATTTTTTCAACCCTGTAAGGCCACTCAAATATTGAATGGGGGGTTGAAAGCCTTGATTTTTTTTTTCAGTTAGAATAGTGGTAAGGCGTTCCTTTTGGAATAGTCAGATTGTGTATTCGATCCCATGCCATTGCAATGATAGTGTGTGAGGACGAGCTCTCACTTGACCTCTAGCTTCAGGTCTACCACAGTCTGGCCAATTTGGGCTGCAATAGTGGTACCACGTGAAAGCTCTAGGGGTAAAAAAACGTCCTTGAGTCGCAAAAAAAAGCTTCACTTAGCAAAATAACCCAGTCTGGAATGTGGGGAGATAATAAAAATGGACTATCCTTGACAGGACTGTTAAGGCCTACTGATAGCTTCTCTGCGATTCGCAGGAACCCCATTTTTTAAGTTTCAAGATAGCCACTCTATTTTGGGAAGTTAGGACATGAGACTTGAGTAGCTAAAAAATGATCAGCCTATTTTTTTCTGACTCTTGTGATCAGCAAAGGTACTAAAATCGGATATCAATCTTTCCCCTTTTAACAACTTTGCTCAGAAGACTCCTCGGCCTACTTTGTTAGAAAATTGCGGTCCAGTGAATCATTTTGTCCGTTAAGCGTAAAGTTAAAGTGGATGCTTGTGCAAAAAAAATCCTAGGTTTGGTTCCGACCAGTAGCCGATTTGATTTTGTCGTCTTATGTTAAAAAAATGAACTTTTGAGATATATGCACTTTTGGCATAATTGAAATTAATTTAAAATCATTCACTCAATTTGTAAAATTACCACTTCTGATTTCGTATAATTTCCCTTTTTTCTTTAGTTTTTTTTTGGCTTAAGAAGTCATTCGGTTTCACCTTAGTCGCCCTTGATTGTGCCAGTTGATGGGCAAAACTGATGTTTACTTGCCTTTTTCTGTTTCGAAATGGGGCGTAAAAAAATTAAAATTCATCTTTTCCGAGTGTATTGTTATAAGCATAAATTTTGCTATGAAGCGGAGCAAAATACATAAAGTGAAATCAGGGTCGGATCTAGGGTTTTCTTGAGGGGAGGGGGCGAATTTTCAAAAAAATTTCGAAAATTTTGACGACCTTTTTTTAAGGTCGACCAAATTGATTTCTTAAAAAGTACCAAAGGGGGGAACCTTTGGGTCGGCAGGGGGTCGAATCCCTGAGGAGGGGCATCGCCCCCCGCCCCTTCCCTAAATCCGCATCTGAGTGAAATAATAGCAAGCACTGTTTTGAATGGTAACCATTAGGCTAATGGCCTTTTTACAGTGCCAAAAGAGACTAATCAATTCGTTTGGTATCAGATGGTCATCGTTGCAATAAAAATAAATGAATCACTTCATTTTACTTCGAAGAATTTCAAATATGAAAAAATAAAGAAATCCAGCATCTATCTGATATATCACAAGAATTGTTTATTTTTGTTTTTTAGAGGTGCGAAAAAACATTGGAGCATTCTTCACTATCACAGATACGGAGAGATCTGAGTTTATGTTTAAAATCATTTAACGTGATTTGAAAACTGATTCTGAGGAAGTTTTATATTAGTAGGTGCTCCAATTGTTATGTTTGAAATATTTGTATCAAAAAACTATCCTAGTGTAGATAACTTGTGTTTTCAAAAGTTAGTCATTTTATAACTGACTATGTCTCCAAACGTGATGCGAATCATTTTTTGGTGTATCATTTCTAATAAACCATTTTCTAATAAACAATATTTTTGTAAATAATAAACGCTGCTTTTTTTCAATTGCAGGCACCGACATCAACCTAATCTGCCCCCCTTTCGTGGCCGTGGAAAAGAGGCCCCCCTGGAGGTACTGGAAGAGGAAGAAGTACGAGGCCTCCCCCCGCTCCCAGCCCTCCTACTACGCAGAGACTGTTGAGTACCCCGCCACACGAGAAATATCCATTCAAGGCTAGACTTCTACTTTTTGACAAATGTCGTGCCAATTTCTACAATTCAAAAAAAAAACGTTTTCTTGTTTCAAATTTTACATAATTTTTAGTTTGGTTTCTTTGTAATTTTTTTTCTGTTATAAAACTTTGCTAGCAAAGTAATTTGAACGAGCAAACGTGCCACGTTTATAGGAAGTTTGCAATCACCAAAATCATTGGTAGTTATGCCCCCCAAAAGAAGATAGTTTGCCCAAATTGGATTGAAATTGTTAAAAGCTGCTACCAAATTATTTGGAGCCAATTAGCTTAAAATGTTTCCAAAATGAAACCCAAAGCCATAACATAGGACCCTAACACTTATCCAAGTTTATGTTTCATATACAAAACCAATCAAGTAAGACAAATATCTTTTTATAGATACATCTGGAATAACTGGCAGGAAAAGTGTAAATTACATTCCAAACGATGAACATCTCAACGAGCAAAATGACTCGAACGCCGATCAACAGCAGCAAGCTTACGACCAAAACGGCTTTTACAGTTCTTCTTTCTACGCGCCCTATCCTTACTATTATCGGGAAGAGGAGTACAGTTGCAGGGAGGATAGAAGTTACTATCCCCCTCTTCCTCGTCCTCAGCCAAAACTGGATTATGGAAAATACTTGACAGCAGATGAGAGACTGAGCGTGCTGGCTCGGTCGCTGAATCTAGATGCACAAGAGAAAGTGATGAAAAGGAATAACAGAGTCGGTACGTATTCCAAAAAACTGTTCGGTGCTTATTTCCACCCAAATTAATCTATTGCGTTACAACCTATACTATCTTACCCTATGTTCCACTTTACCCTACGCAATTTTAAACTTTAACTAAAGCAGTTGAAACCTACCCCATCTCTTTGAAGAATCCGAAGCAGAAGGGCTCGCGACTGTTTCTTCCTATAGTTTCTCCATTGATGTAACTTCTTTGGAAAGAGGAAGCAACATCACTTAGTTTTTCACTAACCATATCGTCCAGCTCAAAACGGTCCGCCATTTTTCCTAAGTCTTCAATGACCTCGTCAAATGGAAGATCAACCAACTCAACGAGGACGAAGCTTAACGCCAAATTTAGTTCGCGATTGCTTTCAGACAAGCGCTCAAGTTCAATTTTAGTAAATTTACGGTTGAAAGCTTGAGCTAGATGAAAGTAGCAACCTTTCAGCGGGACTCCGAAAACGTGGGTCGAAAAAGCGTTGAGCGCTGCTCCTTCGAAGTCGAGGAGAGTCCGTTGTGGCTCCGCTTTGTTAGATAGCTGTCGGAACGTTCAGGAATTTTTGGTAGGTGTGCTCACGTTTACTTGAGAGCAAAGCATAGACGCAGGGCGGGTAAGAATCAGCTACTTGTATATGAAAGGTCGAAAAAAACTTTAAATGTTCCGTCGCAAAGCCTGAGATCTGTGTTCAGTGGGAAATTATTTACGCGATCGCCAAAATTAAGGACGCGCTCAGTATCTTCAATCCCATTGAATCCCATTGAATCTTCAATCCCAGTAATTTACCATTGATACTATTTTGATAAAATCAACCCAATGTGAGAAAACTGGATCAATAGCTAAATAAATAATTACGCTGGGTATAATGAAAATTATCCTTTTTTGAAACTAGAATTCCATCACCTTTTTGTGATCTTCACACTTTTGCTGATCAAAAGCGAAGGAATTGAACTAATAAAAGAAAATACAAGTCAAACCACAAAAAATCAAATTTGAGTGGGAACGATTTTTAGGCTTTTCTCAAAAAAAACTAACACAAAATCATCACGACCTATATAAGAATTTTCACTGTGTTCATTGGATGTTAAAACTTCCAAAATGTAAACAGACAAACTTTATTTATGAACCCGGAATTCATAAATTGCAATTTCAGATTTCAAACTAGAAGAGCCAAAGCAGAACAACTACGAGAGTCAGCAGAGAGAACAGATGCGAAAAATGACTCAAATTACACAGCCATCTGAGCAGGTAGGTAAAACATCGAACTTCCATTTGTGTTATACCCTTGCAGCTTGAAGGGAGAAGACATTTTCAACACAATCTGATAATTTAAATTGACTCAGATTTCTATGTAAATAGTATTTCAGGACATGATATAAATATTACTTTTGTCGGATGACAAATATGAAAAAAATTACTCCATTTTTGTTGATGTTACCATAACTAAAATAAATTAAAGAAGACAACCGAGCCATACGTTATTTTTTCAGGAATCTAGAGCCAACCACACGCGGGACCACTGGTCCTACGAGACGAACAAATACTTCGATGAGGTCAAAAGAAATTTGGGCAAACAGAAACAACTGCGAGGAGTACAGGGAAATCATGTGAGGACTCATATAGAAAATCAGACGATACACGACTTGGAGAACCTTGATAAATTCTCATAGATAAAATAAAAGAAAACATATTCGAATTTAGGCTCAATTTTTAAAATTAAAGCAAGGTCAAGTTAGCGCTGATTCAAAATATCCGGTAGAAACAAATACTTGAAACGCGCTTTTCCCAAATTGTGTTGACTTTATATTAAAAATAGGATTTATTTTGTGTTATTCGGACCCAAAAATTTTTGGTTTTTTCAGTCTATCAAAAACTATTACGCCAAACCTATTGATACAGTTTAATTAAAGTGAGCTTCTGTTAAACAAGCGATTATGGATTTTTTGCAAAAAACGTATGAATTAGAAATTGGGATAAAATAATTGATAATTGTATCGATAATTAGATGAATTTATAATCGACTATGAATCAATTAAAATGTATTTCAACCGATTGTAATTTGATCTCAAAAAAGAGATTTTAATCGGTTGTTAATTGATTAAAATAGATTTTTTCTCAATTTTAGGAAGACTAGTACTGAAATCATAATATAAACGATTATTAACGCTTGCAACTGGATGCGGGCTTTTTTCTAGTACATCTCAGCCTTCGAATTTGGATAAAAAAGATGGCCTTAAACCTCTTTGGATTTTTAGAACTATTTATAATTGACAATTTTTTGATGAAAAAAAAATTAAGCATGAACGTTTTGAAAAAAAAAATACCAAGACTGATTTAAGAGTCTTCACTACGTTCAGTACTCTTAAAAAGCAAAAAGTGATCCTTTTATGGGTTAAAATTTAGAGCTCGAACATTTAGAGCAAAACAAATTGCACCATTCGAAGCCAAAACTGCTCTAAGCTTAAATTATAAGTAAGTTTTTTCAAAAGATATTCATTACAAAGTATTGCATCTAAATTTCTATCAACAAAAGCATTGTTTTAGACTGTACGGTCCCACTTTAACTCGGATTATTGATGAATCGAGAAAAAAAAATTGCAGTACTGATTCAGTGCTGGCCCAATAATGTTTTTTTTTTCATTCGTATCATGCTAAATCAGATACACATATATGATCATTTGTTTACAAATTGCACAAAATTAGATTCTGCTCATAATCGAATCCTCTATCTATCGTCTAGTCGCCCCTGTCACGTCTAGACTTTTCAGTCATACTCCTTCAGTCATAGTTGATTCCATCTCAGCAATTCAATGAGGCGTAAACTTATATCACAGGGCTTGATTGATACTGAAAAACAACGTTTTTCTCTGATATTATGCACAGGCATTGATGATAAATTTTTATTGATCACTGATTAGCCCTTCAGACACCAAAATCTTCCTTGAATGCATGAAAATAGATGACCCATAGCTGTCTATGTTCGAACTATGTAACAGATATGCATTTCTGAACTTTGCTGGACAATACTGAGCCAGCACCGATTTGCTCTGGGACTTCAACCCGGGTACTTTACTGGGCTGGTTATGAAAAAGTCAGGACCTCACTTTAAAGCCAACACAGAGGCAAAGTTGCTTTTCGTAAACACAAGCATGATGAAACGTTTCGGAGTTTCAAAAACGAGAAACATAATCAAAAATTGAAAACATAGCCAACAACCAGCCTTGGAGCTGTTTGAATTTCAAGAACAGTTTATGACAGACTTTTCATAAAAAATATCCAATTTAAGAAAACTGAATCAATAGGTAAAATTTTTATTCCACTGGGAAAACTAAAAAATAAAAATCTTCCAAATTAAAAGTCAGTTTTGTTTTTCGTGACCTTCACACTTTTGCTGTTCGATAGTGAGCTTGCTTTCCGTTTAACAATTCAAAAAATGAAATAAACTTAACTTCAAAAGAAATTAAAAGTCAAACCACGAAATATCAAACTTGTCTAAGTTCATGACTCTTAAAAATAAAAGTATGGTGGAAAAATTTAAGCTTGGAAAAATAGATTTTTTTATTAGCGTGAAATCACAAAAAGACTATCGAGTATACGACAAAAAAAAACAGCTCTAAAAGGTGAAATAAGAAATGAGCCTAGATTTAGAAGCTTTTGCTATGTGTCAGATTCGAATCTGGGACCTCAAATTTGAAGTCTCACGTCTTTCCCTCTCAGCCACGGACTCTTAAGGATTGATTAACACTAGCCGCCAATAAAGCAGAAAACGGATAATATCCCATGCTACAGATCTTGATTAAGCAAAGTGCCGCCAAATGAGCACTTTTATTAGCGAGGTGGGTTGTGAAAAAAGTCGAGTCATACTGATAGCATGCTCGTCAGTGTAAACAACATGGGTTTCGAACCACGCACACTCCAACTTTGACTCTTTCCTCCGCCGCTACGCCATTTGACATTGATGTTTACATTCTGTAATAGCAAATACCAGGCAGCAATTTGTGCGTTCATAAAGCGGACATAGGTTGATTTAGATTAGTTTATGGAAAAAAATAGTAACAAAATTGATCGGTGATTACAATGTAAATTTTTTGTTTTGCAAAATACCACTAAATAGAAATTGAACAATTTACTGTTTACTAGGCTGTCTGCTTACTGCTTTTAACCATATTAGCTGGCACGTTCCAAACGTTTTTTCAAACAGCGGCGAAGCGAAACTTCGCACCACTTGCGATGCAATAAAAACATTACAACAAACTTAAAGTCAAAAAATGAGACCAAACCGGCAAAATAAGGAGACTGGAAAATTGTCAAAGAAATTAATCTATCAAGACTTTTTACATCTTTATCTTCATTTTCTCTTGAATTTAGTTGATTTCAAGAAAAACACGCCTAATAAAACAACTTAATGCTAAATTAGCATTCAAACAAAACTCCTTCTCCACGGTTGGTCTTGCGAGCAGGATCGGGGGCTAAAAAACGCATTTTCCTTTCTCGAGGTTACTTCCGCTCTTAAATGTCTTGTTTTCCCATGTTCAAAATATTGCTAACTCAATTTTTTTTCTAGTAAATTTGGATTTTCACATGACTGTTTAATGAGTGATTACCTGCTGGTTAGCTGTCTGTTTGGACTCAGTTAACTTATTCGGACTGAAATTGTCCCATTTTAAAATTGATTTTCGAGCAGCTAAATTGAAGGTGACGAATTATTTAGGATGGGTATATAATGGTAACACACGTAATACGGGAATGATATTCAAGGAACTTCTAAGCCAATGTATCACACTTGAAATAAGGAACTAATCTAATACTAAATTTTAACTCACTCCAAAAATTTAATCCCGAAACGAGACAACTGCAAACTAAATAATAATGTACTGCTCAATAAATTTAATTCGAACCATTTACAGCACCATCGTAGCGAAAGTACGGTCGTCGGGTCATTGGAAGTTTCGAAGTTTAGTTAACAGAAAATTGTTGGCAATATCAGTGACCGCGAGCCACTTATTCGACCAAAAAACGCAGTTTTTACATTAAATTGACTTTTTGACACGGTTTTTACAGTTTGCAGTGGAAAACTGGCTTCAGATGTCAAATGATCCATTCGTTTTACGTTGATTAACTTCGTTCAGATTTGTCGACCGAAAAGGAAAGTTTGCATTAAATACCGCTCAGTTTGAAATTTTAGATTCAACATGGTAGTTTAGAATTGACTGGCGAAGCTCAGCTAGTCACAGAAGTCGTGGCAATAAATTATAACAAATGTCTCTTTTTCATTTTTATAACAGTATGACGCCCAGATAGCTATATTAATTTCAACGTCAATACACACCATGGTTTGCTTACATCATTTCATTGCAATACATAAATAGCAAGAAGTCCTGTGTCGGAAAAGAAAACTTATAAGGTTCGGTTATTAATATAACTCGGCCTGGTAACTAGTTTTTCAAAGTTACTTATTCCAATTGGGACAGTCTTGTCTTGAGTGCCTCTAGTTGTTCTGTGATTTGAGGAGGGAGGTCTTTGTTCACTTGCTCGTTGAAGTAGTGCTCTATCTCTTCAACTTCGTTTGTCCAGAAATTCTTCGACACACTCAGAAGCTCCTTCATGTCAACTGGATCCTAAAATTGTTTGACTCGTAACTCATTTTCCATTGATGCTAGAACGCATAACTCGTTCGCTTAAGAAAGAACATAGCCAACAGATGGTTGGAAACTAACTTATACGAAATATCAATTATTGGCGAGAAAAAATGAACTTTTTAACTTCAAGTCTTAGTTTGTTTGACCATTTGAGGTCAATTTAGTCAAACAAAATTGGACTATCTGTAGACTTGAAAGTTCACTTCGTTTAGAAACTCTCTAAATAGTTTTAATTGTTTCGAAGCAATAAAGACCAGTCGGTCAACAAACGCATTTATTACGCGAACTTAGAAATGCTTAATTCCAGATGTCTCTGTTATTGATATAATGACACTACAGATGATACACTTGCCTTAAGTCCATTGAGATTAATCCCGTCAATCGTAGGCACCTTCCCAATTACTTTTTCCTCATAGATACTAGAGTCATTGTCCAGACGCCTGAAGATCCACTCGATCACACGTGCGTTCTCTCCAAATCCAGGCCAGATGAACTTTCCAGCGTTGTTCTTTCGGAACCAGTTCACGTGGAATATCTTGGGTAGGTTGAGTTTGCCTCGTTTTGACTGGTCGGCGAAGTCCAGCCAGTGTTGCAGGTAGTGTCCGAAGTTGTAGCTGTAGAAGGGACGCATGGCGAATGGGTCGTGCATGATCACTTTTTCTGAAGCCCAAACCAAAATTTTAAAATCTTTTTATTAACTTTTCCCACATTTGTGAACAACCACTTCTGCACAAGATTTTTTCAAGATTTTACCGGGATGATTTTGTATTATCTTAAATTTTTATACAACTAAAAGAGCAAAAAAAAGACAAATTCTTTATATAGCTGATACCCACTTCTATGTTCCGCTGCAGCCGTCGCCTCCGACTTCATCGATGCCCCCATGAACACCCCGTGCGCCCAGTCACGTGACTCATAAACCAAAGGAACCCCCTGTGGTCTCCTGCCTCCGAATATGATTGCGTCTATCGGAACTCCTTCTGAGCTTTCCCAAAGAGGGTCTATGATTGGACACTGGTTGGCAGGTGCGCAGAATCTGGAGTTGGCGTGGGCTGCCAGTCCCGTGGAGATTCCTATCTTGAACGGTTTGCCCCTCCAGTCAGTTAAATTAACACCCTGGAATCCAAAAAGAACAAAAATAATAAGCCAAAAACAAGTGTACCACACCGTTCAAGTATTTGAACCGCAATAGTTTAGTATCCAATTTTTTTGATTTTATTGGATTTTACGACCAATTAATTGCAGGTTGAAAACATAGCCAACAAACAGATTGGAAAAATATCAATAAATTCGACAATAATCTCAGAAAAAAAAACAAATAAAAACAAGGATAGACGGTTGCTGTGGAAGTAGCACAGAATACTCCGACCACATTCTCAAAAATTTTTATGCCAATAATGTCATATGGTCTTGCGCATGGTTTAACATCAAAGAATTCTTTGAATGAAGTTCTTTTCGCACAGAAAAAAGGGTTACGGCATAAGAAAACTGAATCATATTTGTAACGTTTTTGATGAACCCAAAATTGATACTTTTTTGAACTATTTTTTAATCAGATTTTTAAAGAAATGCTTGCTCAACTGCAACTAAAATCTCCAAATTGTTTGTTACATATAGATTCAATAACTAGCCGTCGTCCAGCACGGTCAAACGCCAAAGTCTAATATTAAATTTGGGATTTTAAAAGGCAAGCGGAATTACTATTGTATTATTTGGTATTTGGGAACAATTTATCACTATTGTTCCGACTACTTCATGAAGTGAAGCAACTATGGCGTAGGGTGTCTTGTTCTACCAGATTTTGACTATTTCAAGAAAACCTAAAGGAGATTTAATGTGGTATGATATTAAATCCTTTTCAGCCTTGATTTGGTTTAAGTAAAAATAAAATATATCCTCAGTGCCAAAAATAGTGAGTTTTTCCGATTTTCAGACCTAATTTCACGAAAATCAGTAAAACCGACAACTCTTTTGATGACACTAAATTTAATTCTACTGCAGTTTTAACGTTATTCTAGCTATAATTACCTCTCATACTCTAAGTTTTTATTAAATTTAATCGTCATTTACCAAAAAACCATCAAGAACGCTAGACGCAGAGTCGAGGCTGAGGATCACACCATGCGATGCAACACGAAAAAAAATCACTACGCTCACAACTCTTAATAAATCACCCTCACTCTTTATATACTCGTCAAATGAAACAATATGAGGCCACTAAGCCGATATAAAAGAGGCTATTAAGTTATTAAGTCCCCCTCACCCTTAAAACACAAACACGCACATACAAACTTTGTTCCCTCGTCAAAAAACGCAATATGAGGCCAATAAACCGATATATTATAGGCCGATCGAAACATATCAAGCAGAAAAAAAATTTGTTGTCATGAAAAAATATAAGTATAATTTCTGTTAGGATTTTTAACATTTTGCGCGAGCAGAGCTGAGCATAAAACTAAAAATAACTTTTCAATTGAAACGACTCAAAATTAGGTCACTAAGCCGATAAAATTAGGCCAAAACAATTTGGGCAGAAAAATTTTTCAAGCGAAAAAAAAGAAAATACACAAAAAAATTACAGACAGCAGAGTTAAATCAGAACATTTGAAGCAACTATATGTGAAAACAACTAAAAAACAATTCTACAATATGGCAATTAAGCCGACAAAGCAGACAATAATAAGCCGAAATTTCTTTTAAAACGGATTATTTCCCGTTTGAAAAAAAAAACACGTTCTGTCAGCTTCGAACCCAGTCCCTTTGCCGTCACGGGCGCATTGGTTACCTCCAAACCAAGTGTGCCGGAGACGCAAAAAAAAATTGAATTCATTATGAACTAAACCAAACTTACTAGTTCTAATTTTGACCATTCTATGAACGAAGTTATTCAACGGAAAAAATTCTAGTACCCGATTGCAATACCCTTGCTTATGGCAAGGGTAATCAAATTTTTCCCTTATTTTTTGAATTTTTACTTAAGTCATAAGTGTCAGAATATTGTGCTACTTTAACAGCAACTGGCTGTCTTTGTTACCATAAACTTTTAAAAAATTGCCTCCTTACGTCTTGCAATTGCACATCCATGCCCTCCCACCACACTCCCCCCTCACTGGTTGTGGCCACATTAGTGAACACTGTGTTCCTCGATATTGTCTCCATGGCGAATGGGTTAGTGCTGCGAGATGTGCCCGGGGCCACTCCGAAGAACCCAGCCTCCGGGTTGATAGCACGCAACTGACCTGCACCATCAAAAAGTGTTTTTATTGAGAACAAATTTTGCACAAATCATTTTTAACAATTTCAAGTTTTTGAATGTAGCCAAAAAGAAAAGTGCTAATGAACAAGAAATCAAAAAGATGAACAATTTTTTCAAACTTCTCGAAACTGAGCACAACTTCGAGAAACAAAAATTTGCATAATATTGAGACTGTAAAAATTCTTCGTGCAAACTATCAGCTGGGAAAAATTCACCAAAACTTCATTAGTGGAAAAGGTCAAAAATTACGCTTTGCTGACCTTGAGAATCGAAGCGCATCCACGCGATGTCGTCTCCCACACACTCGACCTTCCAGCCGGGCAGAGAGGGTTTCATCATGGCCAGGTTTGTCTTGCCACAGGCGGAGGGAAACGCAGCAGCTATGTACCTCTTCTTACCCTCTGGATTCGTCACGCCCATGATCTATAAAATAATGAATGATTTGTCATTTATCAAAACGTGTACGCTATATCGATGTTAAGCATTGTATAACCATGGCATAATTGGGAGCCTTTATTACCCAATTGAGTTTTGTATTTGCAGGCATGCTAAATTTTACTGGTAGGGCGACAATTCGTAACAGGCGACCATTCGTAACAAGCGACAATTCGTAACAAGGCATTGGCAAGTAGAATACGCTTGCTCCGCTGCGCTTACATCCGGCACGAGAGAAATATTGCGCGTGAATCAGTGTTCCCCGCTTAACCTACTGTTACGAATTGTCGCCTGACGAATTTTACTGTTTGAATCAGATAATAGATTCTGGTTATAGTAATTTTTTGCAATATTTTCAACACGAGGATCACAATATTTCATCCAACGTCGGAAAGGTATATTTCAGTCTGCGTGATTAGCCGTAGCGGATTTAGGCAGACCTCTCCCCTGAGGGATTCGACCTCCTAGCACAGTAAGCTTCTCTGTTGGTTCACGAAGACATTCTTTTTGGTCGACCAACGTTTGAACTTTTCTAAAAGCGCCTTGGGTGCACAAATAAACTAAATTCGAGGGCGGAGCGGGCTTCAAACTAAAACGCAGTTTTTCCGTCAAAACATTCCAAAAAGTGCCCTAGAATGTCATTTTTGACTGTTTTTTCAAATATTCTCCTGTGGCATACAAAAGTTTTAGCAAAAGAAGGTCTTTGGGAGAGTTTAAGTCTCTTGGTCACGCTAAAACAAAGGCCCACAAAATTTTCGAAATTTTGAAAGTCCGCCCACAACTCGAAAAAAAATCCGAGATTCTCGCCTGTAGATGAGCCTTATCAACAATTTGCTCTAACCAGCATGTGTTCAGCCAGCCATCCCTCTTTTCTGGCGAGACAAGAGGCAATTCTGAGGGCGAAGCACTTCTTTCCCAACAGGGAGTTCCCTCCGTATCCACTTCCGTAAGAGACTATCTCGTTCTTGGCGGGTATGTGGCCCACAAGCACCCTAGCTGGATCACAGGGCCAATGACTGTTATCGCGACCTAAAACGACGAATATATGTTCAACACAGAGGCGAGGCTGCAATTTGAAGAAAAAAAATAGTAAATTAGCCTTCGGGATCCAGGCGCTCGAAGCGGATAAAAAAAACTTGCTCGTAAATCGCTCGCCAATAAAATTGAGGGCTAAAACTATTGGAATTATTGTGCGTTTGCTTGTGTAAAGACATGTAATGTCAAAATCAAGGAACATTCGGCAATTTTTCCCGCCAGCAAAACAATAAAAAAACTAATGACTCAAGCTAATGACAAGAAGTGATGAAATGATTTAGTAGAGAAAGTTCATGTAATGAAGCAGGCAGCGAAAATTTTTTTCCATATTTTATAACCATATCGAATTTTGAACTACCGAATCAAAATTACTCTGTATCTTCGTTATTGAGACGCTTTACTTTTGAATCGTGTCGCATATCGTTACAAAACCGTTCGCTATTTTTCCTTACCTTCAGGTGGAACTCCCACGCTGTGAATGCATTTCACATACTCCTCACTTTCTCCCTTTCCCTCTTGAGTAGTCGCCAAGAAGTCCAGCACCTTCTGGCCCATCCTGGTCATGATTCGCATGCTGGACACCACGTAGGCGCTGTCTGTCAACTGGATGCCCACTTTGGCAAGAGGAGATCCCACCGGACCCATACTGAATGGGATCACGTACATGGTCTTGCCTGTGTAACACAACACGTATAATTTAAATACAAATAGATACTGAAAAAAACAAGGTCCAGCCGGGACTCAAAACCAAGACCCTAGGGTACAAAGGCATCCGCGTTACCTCTATGCCAAGTGGGAAAAGCCAAGTCTCGAAGTTGCTAAGGTTCACTAATAAAGCAAGTTCACTATTTAACTCTAGTTCACTATTTAACTCTAAGGTTCACTAATAAAGCAAGTTCACTATTTAAAAAACTCTAGTTCCCGATTATTAATAATGCTCCGATTAATAATGCTCTGATTAATAATGCTCCGAATATACCCGATGCATTGCCGAGTTCATAGATACTTTCACCGCTCAACCGCTATATTCTCGTATTTAAGTCCACCAGCAGTTTTTAGATATATTGGAGCTGAAATGGCCAAATTGATAATAAAAAGCGGCTCTTTTTCAGCCCACCAATTGAACAGATTTGAACTTTCTATTTGCAAATTGCAGTAAGAACAACTCAGAGATATTTTATTTTCTAACTTTACTAGATGATCGAAAACTCGAATCTTAAAAGGCCTTCTCTCCTACGTTTGCTTTTTGTATGTTCTGCAGTTGCTTAGCTTACCACGCATGCAGCCTGGGAACCGCAGTCGGATCTGCTTCTCAAACTCTGATGGATGCATCCAATTGTTTAGTAGTCCCTTGGCACCCTCTGCCGGGGTGGGTTTGGTCTCTGCCTCCGTCTCAGTCACAATAACTGTCTTGCTCTCTACTCTAGCCACATCTTGCGGGTCTGTGCGCGCATACCAGCTGCAGAAAATATAATTTCTAGCATTCCATTATTTAAGACCCATATCATATATCCACGAAGGAAGGGACCAATGTACGAGTTGTTCGGATCTTTACTAACCAATTTTGTGAACCTACTTAAAAATCGCCACCTCACTTGACAACAATTGCTACATTTTATTTGGAAAAAGCTGCACTGAAAAATCAAAATTGAGCATACGTTAGGACTCAAACCAATGACAGAATTATCATGAGTCCAAACTCCTGCTACCAAAGTTTCTCACGGGAAAAACGCATATAACCAGGGGCTAAACTAAGGATTTTTCAGAGGATTTTTTAAATAACCGAAATAATTTTCCGAGCCTCTGACCAAGTACAAGAAAAGCAATTTTTGAAGGGTTGTTACTAAGAAAATCCTTGACGGGCCGTCCGTTTTCCCTTCCCCAAAATCCGCCGCTATATTTATCGCAGTTTTAAGACGCGAACATAATAATACATTTAATTCCAAACCACATTCAGAAGCTTCTTTTGGGTCAGTTTTTAAAAACTTAAATTGCTGTCATAAATGAAAGCATTAGCTAGTTGAGAGAATAACAGAAAAAAATCATTTCCTTGAAATGTTTAATGATATTGTTGCCATTTGGAGCAGCGCATCGTATATTTCAGGCGAGTGTCATCTAGAACGGGCTGACTCATTTGTTCAGTATTATTAAATTAAATTGTTGCTCGCATTGGTGTTTTTCTGTACTTCTTCAGAAAGTTGCTATTATTTCGTCTCATCTTCGACCCACACTGCAGCAGTGTGCCTTTTGCTACACGCGGGGTCCCGACTCTAGTAACTGACCATCAGAAAAAAGACAACTGATGTGTATCAAAAAATGTTCAGTCCAAGAAAGTTAGCTGCTTCGAGTTGTCAGGTAAATTGAGATTTTAGGGACACGAGATGTGGTTGGTGTCATAAGGAGAATTTAAGCACTCAAGACATTCGTCTGGTTGCTTGAGTTGAGAGGGTTGAGTTGATAATTCAGGATAGGGGAATAATTGCAGCAAAGTTGCACCAGGCTGTTGCAGTTTAGTTTCATGTCTGAGATCCTACTGGAAGCGGTGTATACTTTACTAATTCGAGGCTTATTTTAATTTTTTTTCTGATTTGACTTTATCAAGCTGCTTTTTTACGTGTTCTCACTAGTGCTTACGAAGCACAGCTTCGCTTCTGTGTAAATTGTACCCCAGTTTCATTAGGATCTCAGACATAAAACTAAACCACAAGGCCTGCAACAGCCTGGTGCAACTTAGCTGCGGTTAATCTTCTCTACTCACCAGCCCTCTAAACTCAAGCAACCAGACGAGAGGGCAGGGCGTGAGATTCCAAATATCAAGGTAGCATGTTTCAAACCGATGCGTAGCAAAGTCTTGATAATTCGAAGCTTATTTCTTATACTTTGCTATATATCGGTTTCAAACATGCAACCTCAATATTTGGAATCTCACGCCCTGCCCACTCGGCCACGGACACTAAACAATCGGCAAACACTAGTCACAAAAAAGTAGCTACACATGCTAATTGATTGGGATGCAGCAAAAGTGGCACCAAATACAAATAGACTCAATTTTGCATGTATTAATTTGGAATATAACAAAACGAAGGCATCCGCACTAATTTTGCAAGTAATAAATTGGAAGTCATTGAGCTACATTTTTTAAGAATGTGTTAAATGATTCATTTAAAAAAATTCCGAGATACATTGAGTTGGAAAAGTTTTGAACTAGAGTTTTATTATTGTTATGTTGTTGGAAACAAATAGCTTTTGCATCAAATAGCTTAAAATGCATCAACGGTGTTAACTTATTACTAAACAAATGTCAAAGCACATGCTATCAAAAAGGGGTAAGAGTGCACCAAAAGTGGCACCAATATTTCGTGGTGACTTAGGTTCGAAAAAAGAATAGTCATGCTATTACACTACGCTCGCCCAAGCGTCGCTAGTGTAAACGCATGTGAGTTAGAGAAAAGTTGGATGTACGTGGAAATAAATAGTGTGTTTAAGATTTTTGGAGCATTTTCTCCGCTTTTTTCTCTAGGGTCTTGTTTGGGTCCACTAGATTCTACTATATATAACATCATGGGTGTCTTCCATCGTTTGAAGGAGGATCTAATTCGCCTGAACGGTGGCTTCCTTGCTTCCGAGGCTTTATCTCCCACGCTATTTATTTCTATGCCAGCTTACTAAGTATTGTGAAGAGAGAAGGTTCGTGTGGTGTGTTAATGAAATCATTTTGCTTCCGGCGTGGAGATGTTACTCTGACTTTGGATAGATGGTCTTTAAATAGGGTTTTGGCCAGTATACCGCTCATGGTTCCAAAAACGACGTTTCCAAAAATTGAATCGTAAAACCCTCACCACAAAGGGAAATGTCTTCAACAACCAACCCCCCTTTCTCCTCGAGAAGGGGCAGTGCTCAAGAAAACAATTACTAACCAGTTAGGGTATTTAGTCAGTCTCTGTATCATTCCACTTTGTTCCAACTGCTTCAAAATCAATTCATTCTCGTGCTCAGAACCATCACAAACGTGGATTCTATCTGGCTGCATAACCTTCGCATGCTGGTACACAAAATCACGAATACTTCTGTTTTTAATATTATCTGCGCCATACACAAAAACTGCTCGTGGTTGTTGATTTGTTGTTGAAGAAATCAACTGCTGCAAATCGGTTTGACTGGGTCTTGTTGGAATATTCTCTGGTAAGATTACAGACATGCATTTGTATCTCTCTTGCGATTGACTCGCGGCTGATTTTCTGAAGCATACCACTGAACTAACCCACGAGAACATCTTTTTTTTTAAATCCCTTTTTAAAAATTTACCCTAACTCACTCAAAATTGATAAAGAAAAAAATGAACAAGGTGTGAAAAAAGAAATCTGCAACTATTTAAGATTTGAGGTTGTTGGTTTACATTTCAAATGAGTTTGACTGAAGCAGCTCTGGAAACGCTTTTGAGAAAAAATACGAGTCTGATTTTCCCTCGATCCACTGCGAGAATTTTTCAGCTGACAACATATCTTCGTTTGTTTCTGAAATAAGATTCCGATTTTCTTCGGGTGTCGGAGATGTAGATTCTGAGCTACACTCGAAGTCGTGTTGATCTGACTCGTGCTGATTGCCAGGACTAATCTCGGAACATGCGTTTCTCAAATTTTCGTCTTTCCTTCTGCTCGCTGAATTAGAAGTGAGCATCCCTTCGACTTTATGACTGCTTAACTCACAAAAGTATCACAAGGTTGCCTTAAAGTTCACAAACTTTCTGAAACAGATTTGTTTTGACCGGGTTTAAATTAAGAATGACGCAAACAGCAAAATAAAATTAAGAGCAGTTTAAGAGTATAATGACTCTTTGAATAGTAACAACAGATCTTTAAATGCGTACACCAATTGAAAACTATTATTAAAGTCGGTGACTAAATTTTGACTACTTGCGTCTGGTTTTGTTTGACTGAATGAGCCAGAAATTTTTCTGATATCAATTTGAGTTGGTATGAGCTAAATGAGATAACGACTCGCCTTAAACAGCAATTTATATCAAAATATAAATATAGCGTAGATAATGAACTTGAGGCGATCTCAAATTCCAGAACATTTAAGCTGTTAGATCGTATATTTATACATGGAAATGTGTGTTTGCTTAACAAAACGCGAGAAACACACCACAATTTTTATCAACTATCCTTGTTGGTAAGTCTAATTCTCCAGCCATGGTAATATAAACGGATGTAACCACAAGTTATTCAATATCTAAATCGGTTGGTTCACATTGACACGCCATGTATAGAATGGCACGCACTATCATCATCAAAGGCCATAGCATAGGTCAAATACGCACCCTGGAATAAATGCAAGAACGAATAAGACGAGAATAGGTCAGGTCAATGTCATACCCAGAAGAAGTTGCTGCTAGATTTAATAACTTAGCAGATCGATACGCCGTTTGCTTCATCGCGTGGTTTTAAACAGCAATATGTCTTAGTACCTTTCGAACTCCTTGACACGCCAACACTCATCTACCTTTTTATACACCCCGGGGATTGGTATAATTCAACTTGTAGAACCATATTAGTGATTTGTGGTCAGATAGCAGACAAGGTTCATTTCATACTCCTCAGTCAATGGACAATTCTCCCAATGATTATATCTGATTGGCTCAAAATATTATGAAGCGTGTTTTTGATGTATTCGTATACAACTTGTAAAATACATATTTCAAATCGAAATGATTGAAGTCTATTTTAAACATTTTTTAAAACGAAAAACTAATTTGGTAAGTTGTCAGCGGAGCAATATGGTAGTTTTCGAACAACTGCCTGGTTAATAGAAATCGAAAAATATGTCTGCTTACTGGCCTTTCTGTTTTTTTTAGTTGTCTACCCGCTAATATGGAACTCATGGTCACATACCCATTTTATTGATTGAAAAAGACAATTGACGTCAATGGACAGATGGATTAAGCCAATCCAAGCCTTTAATATCAAAAAAATTCTGAAGCCACATAAATCAGTCTCCGTCTATCAAATCTAGAAAATGAAAACCCAACTCCTCAAGTCCCACTGAGATTAGACTAAAAATAACTAGTTGGAGATAGCAGAAAGTATTTCCTGTTTGCAAGCAACACAATTTCATAAAAGGCTATCTTTCTTTTAATAATGGCATCTTAACAATTTGACATATCAATAATTTGCAAAGAAAATCAGGACAACTTACTGGAAAAAAAACTGACAAATTGAGCCTTCAGATCAGTTTGTTTTAGTTATACGATTTAAAAATATATAAGAAAACCCCTTGCATGATAAAAGATTACACGAGTCTAGGATAATAAGACAAATTATACGACAACAATAATTGTCCATTTGTAATGGGTACTTCACGATTTTTCATAAAGCATAACAAGAGTTACTGTTAATCGAGGCAGTTTAAGTGCACCAAAAACATTGAAGAAAATAGTTAATATTCAAAGATAAAGAATATGAATGGAGGTGTAGCAACTACCCATTTCGTCATGCAAAAACTCTTCCTGTGCAGAAAGAAAAGCATTTGCATACGGAACATGGACTCGATGTTTTTTATGCAAATTGTAAATCATATTAATCCTCTTTTTCTGGAGTAAACATGGTCAACCAATGTGATAAGCCAGTAAATTTAGGGAACTGTAAGTTTGACGAAGAAAACCATGAACGAAAATCATGGAAGTTGCTTGGACGTACATGCAATGGATCCCTTTGTTTTTTTGCCAATTTTTTATTATAGTTTTGATGCTAGTATGCGCAATTGTTCGAATAAGGTTATTCACAACATGAAAAGAAACGACAGTTTGGGTAGCTATCAATCAATTAGAGTCGGTTATATTTCACCTTCTCCAAAGCTATGATAATAATATCTACCGCAGAACGATATTTTATTTCCCTAGTTGGACCAGGTGGAGCTGGGAAATCTCATTTTATTTTTGATTGGTTAAAAATTGGTACTTTTCAACCAGCATTTGAAAACTTTTTACTTTATCAACCTCTTTAATAATCAAATCCAAAATTGAAACCTCAAATTTATACAGGGAGTAGACTTTGACTTGATTGAAAATCTTCCCGATTACGGAACCAAGTCTCTGCTTATAATTGATAAATCTTGTGAGGAAATTTCAAGCTTTAAACAGTTTCTTCAAAGCAAATTGGGAAGAGATGTAGAATTACAAAATACACACATAGTCTTGTTCAAGTCCCGGAGAGATGTTTCACAAATCGTAACATTAAGTCAACAATTAGGTCTCAGATCTCGATTAAAAGCATGGTATCAAGATGCAATGTCTATTCCATATGGTCATTTACTTATCCAACTAACCCCAAAAACAGTTGATTCGCTTAGATATTCTTTCGATAGTGGCTCAGTTACAAATAAAATTGATTTACCAGCTGGAAGAGACAGTTTATGGACAATAAGTATACTATACGTCTCTATTCTCCCAGTATTTCGAAAACTTTCCATGATACTTCTAAAACAATTCATTCTCAGTTGCCCAAAAGATTTTAATCAGTTTCTGAGCGAGTGTTTAGTAAATCTAATAAGAGGAGAGCTTCGGAAGGAAGACGTACTAAAATGTCTAGAGACTTCAGAATAAACACTTAAAAACTCCTTTTAAGCAAAAGAATCAATTAAAGTTCAACTAAAATTTTACAATTGATATCTATCATCAACCCATTGGTCATTAATCGCTTGATGTAGTATGGAACAGTTTGTACTCATCCTTTATTCGGTTTATCAATAAGAAAAGAAACTTCCGAAGAAACAAATTTGGAACAGAGAGCGAAAACAGAGGAAACTACCAAAAAAATTTGACTAAAATTACTCCGCTGTAAATGCGCGATTGAAATCAATTGATAAAAAAACACTAAATGATACTGTTGTGAACTCTCCCAGAAGGAGATTGAGCCAATCATACAACATTATTTTAGATGCAAGAGATACAAAGGCATCAATTGTATACTTTGTTTGTGCTCTTACGGGAGAAAACTTTTCTAGATCTTTTCTTTAAAATTTTAGAAGCTACCCAAATTACATCAGAGTTTGTCATTGAAAAGAATGCTAAAGCAAAAGACAAAATAGGCTGGATCCCTCTCAAAATCTGAAAAGGTAAGATTAGAGGTAGAGCAGCTCACGGTTCTGTCAAGTGGTTTGTCTACATTGAAAGTGAAAAAAAAATTACAATCCAAAAAAAAATCGTATAGAAAGTTTGGTCCACCTAATTTCAAGCTTTTTCAACATTTACCAATGAAAATTGGTGCATGAACTTGGCTTTTGTAGACGACCTAGCTCATCAAAACAAGGGAGTAAAGTATTTACTAGTAGCTGTAGAAAATGTTTCACGATTTGTCAGCATTCAAACAATGAAAACAAAGTATGCCAAAGAAATTTTGCCAGCTTTCAAAAAAAGTCAGCTTTCAAATAAAAAATCCTGCGAAATTGGGGGTCGAAAAAGGAACGGAATCTGGAGGAACTTTCGGAAAAATTTGCAGTGGAGAAAACATTGCAGTTTGGTCAACAATAAGTGAGACAAAAGCAGCATTTGCAGAAAGAGCAATTCAGTCTTTAAAGCATTTAATATATCGTTATATTGGAGATCATGGTGAGAAAACTCTTCCCAAATTGCAACAATTGGTTTCTACAATGAATTGTCGCAAACATCAGCCCATTGGAAAATCTCCGAGTTATGTGAAAAAAGATGACTTTAACCAAATTTGTATTAAAAAAAAACTGTTTATAAAACTTATTCAGCCAAATTTCAAAATCGGTCCACCTAAAAAATAACAAAAAAAAGAGGTAACTATGGAATAATTTTACGAAAAAGAAGTGAGGAAGTTTCAGGATAAAAGATAAAGCATCTTTTGTTTGTTATTCTATCGATTAGTAGCCTTGAATTCTTTCACAATTTAGCTTGTTTCTAATGCTTATTTTAATTGTTATTCGAATAACATTCTTAGTTCCTTTACAAATTTTCTACTAAAAAAAGCTCTTAACGGTTAAAGGGAGGTTGCTAGTTCAGAAAAATCGTACCCATAATACCAAAAACTCACTGAGGGGAAAATTACCGACGAAATTCGAGAACGTCTAGGTGCACAGAAATTGGAATTAATGTGTCAGTAGATCAGTAGATAAAGTTACAACAAAAGATAACCGTTCATTTACTTGATCTTCAATCAATAATTATCATTCAAAGTGCTGATTTGAGTCATATTTTAGGTTGCGATTTAGAGCAAAATCAGACAAGGCTTATAATGAGTGGGTCCACATTTTCCCACGATATTATAAACTTAAAATAATCTAGTCCGGGATAGAAAAACTCCTAGATTGCGCTGTATTCCTATCATTTCTAGCGTAAAAATAGGGATAAAATCTACAGGACAGCAGACGAATTATCAGTCGGTTACGAATCTACAGTTCAAATAATTTTGAAAAATTATTTCCACAGCAACAAAATAGTACTAAGAGACACTAGAGGTGAAATTTTTTTTTTATATCCGTAGGAATTACGCGAGTTGTTCTCCTATTCAGTAAGATTTCCGATATTCAATTTTGATTAAGACTTCAACCGAAATGGTTGCCCAAAATTCAGCTGATTTCTCCATTTTTCGTGGACATGCAAGACAGCGTGGAAGAGGTTCTGGTGCTCTTGCACAAACTCATGGGAGAACTGCCATCCCCTTTATTGAAAAGTATACCGTCCGAGCTGCAAAAACAGTCGGACAACATTTGTTTGAAATCGCAGCTCCAGAGATAGGAGAAGTTGTTAGTGGACGCAAAACTTCAAACATTTGCATAAGAAGTCGGAACAAAAACAGTTCGAAATTGGTTGAGAGGTTTAACAAAGAAGTCTAAGCGTAGAACTGGTAGCAGCATTTCCCGGAAAAGTAGCTCGAAAACAGTCGTTCTACCAAAGAAATTTCTGAAAACATATAATAAATTCAAATCAAAGTAGTCATTTTCGGTACGGAGCTTCTACAAACTGTTTTTCAATTATTCAAGAGAAAGTTATGTAATACTTTCAAAACAATACAATGGTTTACAACGCCGTCGGCATTGAGCAATAATGGTTTACAACGCCGTACAAACGAATTCAAATCGTGAGCATCGAGCAAAAAGGAAATTCTTGGTTTTCATGGATACAGTATTGTAGAATTTCTCCAGTTTGATATGCATACTTTCACTCATAGAGCAAACTCCTTAGGAA